TGAATAAAAGACCATGATAAATCAGAAACTCGATTACAAAAAATACAAGAGATATGTAAAACCTTTCTTACCTTGGAATCTAATCGCTTAAGCTCCTGAGCTGTATATATTGCATTTTTGTTCTCCTCTTCAACTGCCAACAGCCTAACTCTGTCTTTCGCATATACTTTCCAACATCGAATATTTTATTGCGTGCATGCCTTTGTAAATGGTATAATATTATCTTTTCTAGCACATTTTGTCAAAAACAAAAAACATACGATTTTTAATAGGTATCTTGACTTGTACTGGATTCAAAAATAAAATGAAAATAACACTGTAGAAAGAATCCTATACAAGCCGAAGTTGTTGCATTTTGACGACTTGATACGAAAGTCGCCATTTCCCTCAAATGCCCCGAACAACAAGCGCTCCTGTGGCAAAACATTCCCCGTAACCATGGTAATCTAGATATCATTTTGATCCCCAAGACACGCTCTGTTTCCCTGTTTACCTTAAATAACCCTCAAGGAAAACGTGCACAAGCACGCGCTCGTTGAATTTGAGGAATTTTTCAATTTTCAAATTCGCTACCAAGCTTCCAAATTTGTCGCGCGGTAGCGTGTATGACTTGGTTATTTGTTGTGATTCTGGAGCAGTTGTGGCTGCAATGAATGATTATTTATCAGTCGTTTTTAATATTTATATCGTGAAGCCCGGCTACGCTATCAAAATACTCAATTATTTTTTTATATATGCTCAAATTGAAACGGAGTCATTGTGCAAACACTTACTATGTTGTGTGCAAAACTTCAAAACTACAGTACATTTTGTAAATAACATGAAATATATTAAAATATCAAACAAAATTCTCATTATACTATTGAAATTTAATACAACGAAATAGTATTCTACGTCGATAATTTCAATCATAGTTTAATAATTATTTTCAATCTATAGTAATTCGCAGTTTCCATGTTTTTTTTTTATACTTTCGATAAAGCTACAATAAAGTTAAATTTGTAGGAAATAACATTATTTAGTTATAAAATAGTATAAAAGGAAATCTAACAGTCAATCGCTTTCGATAAAACCTTGACCTTGTCACAGAATAGGAAGGTATAGCAGAAGCGTAACTCAAGCAAGTATTTGTCCGCGTTTTTACAAGCAATTCGTCATCAATCACGCCATCTTGGCTAGTACAACCGGCACTTTGTACCTACCAAATCCTGATAAAAACTTTCGGCTGTACTAGCCAGGATGGCGTGGCCTGGCGTGAGCGAGTTAAAATTTTCGTGGACGTCAAACAATAAGGAAACCGACTCGAGTTACACTTCTGCTATACCTTCTTATTCTTGTGACCTTGTTTATATTACCGTCGTTTGCAACTAACGATGAACAGTCGCTCATAAAAACATTGCCTATTCGCGTGAGAATCTTAAGTTTTCTTATTTTGACATAATAGCTATTTTTCAATAAATATATTGATATTAAACTTATTGAATCAATATTTTAAGTTTCAGGCCAGTTGTACCAAAAGTTATAAGCAGTAGCGCATTATAACCAGGGCACAGAAAGGGTCATACAGAAGCCCAATTTCTTGGTTTTTCCTATGATTTTCCAATGATTTTGGCGGTTAGCACTTTTTTCCATCCAGCAAACCGCCCTATCGATTTTCTAAAGTCTTTTTTTTATTTTTTTATTAATTCGATTATGGTTAGAGTTAGGGTTGCGGTTAGGGTTAGGGGTTAGAGTAGGGGTTGGGTTTGTGTTAGTTACATAGCCATTTAACATCTCTTCTATCCTCCGAAAATGACGTCAGATCAGTTTGCTGGACGGAAAATAGTGCTACTATTAGGATTGGTGTACAGTTATCCCGGTAGAAACAGGTTTTAATGTCTGGTACGACTCATAAACTGAGATTCCATGATATTACAAAAAGAATGAATTTAAGGAAAAATTCATATGCATATGATTACGAATAGCATTAGACATAGAGTATACTTCAAAGACAGAAAATTTTGAATAATATTGTTATTTTCTTTACATTTTGACTATTCTTTTTTGAATTCTTCAGGCCCGCGGCTCGCAATCGTACGCGTGTTAGCATTTTTCTGCCCGCAGCCCGCATTTTCCGGCCCGCAGCCCGCATTTTTCTGCCCGCAGCCCGCATTTTTCAACCCGCATTTTTCAGCCCGCATTTTCGGCCCGCAGCCCGCAACCCGCAGAATAGTTAAACTCATGCTCGGATATCGACCAGCGAAATAATCAGCCTGAGCGAAAGACGCCTGATCCTATTCAAGGAGGACAAGTGAGCTTGACATTTGTGTTAGCCTGGTGCATTCGAGAGAATAATGGTGGAGAATTGAATTTCAACTAAGTTGGACGTGCCGGCCTTTTTGGGGTAAAAACTTTATCTATTAATCTATTAAACAGACTACAGTATTGCATGCAGTTGAGAATTTTTCACGACACTAATACCACCAAACTCCAGGTTATATATTTCTGATACTTTAATATTTAATATTGACATTGACCGTCCACGCCCTCTCACGCCTGGGGGATGGGGGTGGGGGGTGGGCAATGTAGAAAAATTAAAACCTCTAACTTGTCACTTTCATAGTGACAGGTTGTCAAGATTAAATGACTTTAAATGGCTGGTTTAAACTAAGATGTGTCACTGAGTAATAATAAAATCATAAAGATAACTCATGTTTGCTATAAATAATAATTTTACAATAAATTATTCACTTGTAGCAACTAGCAAGAGCCTCCTATTAAAGATAACTCATGTTTACTTTAAATGATGATTTTACAATAAACTTGCACTTGTAGCAGGAGCCTCCAAGTTGTCAAGATTTTCAATGTCTTTGGGCAACAGGTTGTCAAGACTTCAATGCCTTTAGGCAGTTGGTTTGAACTATGGTGCGTTCTATATACTAATAATAAAAACTTAAAGATAAGTCATGTTATAATAAATTTTGCACTTGTAGCAAGAGCCTCCAAGTTGTCAAGATTTTCAATGTCTTTGGGCAACAGTTTGTCAAGACTTCAATGTCTTTAGCAGCTGGTTTGAACTATGGCGCGTTCTATATACTAATAATAAAAACTTGAAGATAAGTCATGTTATAATAAATTTTGCACTTGTAGCAAGAGCCTCCAAGTTGTCAAGATTTTCAATGTCTTTGAGCAACAAGTTGTCAAGACTTCAATGTCCGTTTAGGCAGCTGGTTTGAACTATGGTGCGTTATATGTACTAACAATAAAAACTTAAAGATAAGTCATGTTATAATAAATTATGCACTTGTAGCAAGAGCCTCCAAGTTGTCAAGATTTTCAATGTCTTTGGGCAACAGGTTGTCAAAACTTCATTGTCTTTAGGCAGCTGGTTTGAACTATGGCGTGTTATATATACTTAACTCCATCATGTTTATTTTAAATTATAATTTTGCGGAAATAATTTAAAATAATTGTGCACCAGTATTAACAGTCCGCAACGGTTGTCAAATTCTTCAATGTATTTGAGCAGCTAGTAGTTAAAGCTAGGACTGTGTCATCTAAGGGTTGTGAAGATAACTTCAGGCTATTTAATTTTAAATTACATTGTATCACATTTAAGGACAAGCACTGTAGGAAGTACCTCCAATTAAGTTAAATCCACATTTCAAATGTTTCTGTACAAAATTATGCAAAGATTTCATTTTGATATTGTGAAAACTTCAGTGTTGCATTACTCTTCCCTCATCTCAGGGCATCCTACGGTTTAACAGCGGAGGATTGCCGCATGCATACTGCAGTAAGTTAAACGTGTACGGTCTTGAAAACAATGTATTTAAAGTGCTTAATTTTATCACATTTGCACTTGGCCGCTTTCAAATCTAATATATCTTCTAAGGAAAAACTTCATCTTCATGATCCGGTTTTGCTTTAAAATAAAATTTATGTTTACAGAAAATATTGTACAGTCTTTATAGCAAGTTATTTTTGTACAAATTTGTAAACTAAATTCTTGTAACATAATCCTTGATTCTTGAATGAAAGTTTGGTAAAATCAGTGAAGGCAATTCTAAAAAAACGTTGAATTGTCTTCACAGTGTTGTTGTTTGGCTTTCCTCTATTTTATCCTATGCATGTGAGCAATATTAAATCCCTTTAATTGCATGAATCGAAGTGCATCAATTGAAGATTTGAAGTAGCTTGTACCATCATTTACCAACGTATTCCTGCAGGCGCACTGCAGGTGCGTACGGATCGTACGGTCCGTAAAGCCATTTCACAGTTGGTACGGACCGTACGATACGTACGGATCGACAAACTTTTATGTCCTGACTTAAACACAACATCCCTATCGACAAAGTAGGTTCACGATTCGTAAACTCATCTTCACGAACCGTACGGTTCGTACGGTTCGTAAAGCCATTTCACAGTTCCTACGGACCGTACGATCCGTATGGATCGACAAACTTTTATGCCCTCACTTCAACACAACATCGCTATCGATAAAGTAGGTTCACGATCCGTAAATCATCTTCACCAACCGTACGGATCGTACGGTCCGTAAAGCCATTTCACATTTGGTACGAACCGTTCGATCCGTACGGATCGACAAACTTTTACAGTATGCCCTGACTTAAACACAACATCGCTATCGACAAAATAGGTTCACGATCCGTAAATTATCTTCACGAACTGTACGGATCGTACGGTCCGTAAAGCCATTTTACAGTTCCTACGGACCGTACGGATTGTGTTCAATGTTTTACCATCTTTACGATCCGTATACGTTCGACAGTATTGGACAACCATCCTGCCACAATGTTGGCTCAAACCATGGTTATTGGACCACAAACCAACATTGTTAACGGGGGTGGGGGATTGGCAATTTTTTGAAAAGTCAAAGAATTAATTTCCATGATTGTAGATCAAAGAATCGTCTTGTCAATTGAACGGTTTACAATTCTAAACAGAAAACAACAGGGCAGTAAAATATAAAAGGAATATGGATAAAATAAATTGCCAACCTTCTACGTTGAATGATTGTTTATCCACTTCAAGGGATCCAACCCTACCAGTTTTCACAGCATTTGCCAATTTCATCTCGTTATCACCCTCGACAAATTCAGGATTAAATACCAATTTAATCATGGCTTTAACACTGCCTCTCCTGTGAATGAAGACCGAAAATCATTTAGAGTGTTTTCATCGAGAGATAAATGTAATAAAGTGTATACTAATGGGATCCCAACGTGGGTGAGCATGCACATGTTTATTAAATTCCATGTCGAATTTCGGCGATTGACTTCCCATATATTTTTGTAGTTTGCACTATCTTAACCTAGAAAGTTTAATTTCCCACGATAAATATCTAAGTACGGATCACATTGACCCTTCAATGAAATAAATTCCACTTTAGGAATGTTTGATTTTAAATTAAATCCTTCCATCTTTTTGAAAACACAAATTAGGAATTATAAATCCAAAAATAAAAAATTAAATTATTCATGTTCATATCATGTTCACACCCCATCTTGACTAATTTATTAGGACTCCTTTGAGAGCCCTCTCAGTGGAAGGGTTATATATACGTACTAAAAGTAAATAAGGTGTGAATAATTAACGTACATCAGTGTAAGTACTTCGGCGTTTCGAAAAGACTCACTTTCACTGTACACAGTTTCAACCTTAATAAAAATGAAAAAAACGCTAATTACTGTAATGACACAAATTACTTAATATAATTATTAAATTTGAAACTGGCAAAAGTCGCAATTACACAACGCATTAAAAAGCTCTTGCCCAAAAATTGTTTTGACAGATCCGCAAGGCAGTTATGAAATATATATTCTAGTTAAAATTCTCCTATAGAAATCTAACTTATTAGCAGTACAAATGGCATTGAAAGATATAAATTTCACATGATGGACAAAACAAAAAAACATTTGCATGCAGCAAACCCTTAGTGGACAAGCTATATATAATTTATGTTATTTATAGCAAATGGATTATTCTTTATATTCAAAATTAAATAAAAATAACATAAACGTTATACTATTTTACAGGTCCTACCGCTTCTATGATTCTTTTACTCGTTTCAGCAAATTCCTTTGACTTTTTATCACTAAGTTCGTCATTCCATTTAATGCTCGTGAAGCGGATAGATACGTTCACAACTTTTTCTGTAGTAAATGAAAATAAATATTAAAATTGCGATCCTATAAATTTAGATATTACAAGTTGACTATTATTATTTCAAACACGGGAATTTACCACAATTTAATTTATTCCTATAAGCGAATGATGCACGCCTGCAATGTTCAGTACGTTCCTATTTAACGTTTATTTACTCTTTACCTACTAATGTGAACACATCCTAAAATGTATACTTGTATATCCACGGCCGTAGGAAGCTCCTTTCGATTGGGGGGCTGAAAGCGAGGGCAGTAGGTCCGAGGAAATTTTTTAATATAGAGTCGCTGAAATGGCATTTTCTGGACTTCGGGGAAGATTTGACAGAATCCTGATAATCAAAAACAGCGTTTTAGTATGTCCAAATTTACAATTTAGTAGTACTAAATGGGCGAAGGCATATTGAATAAACTATATATTGAATAAGTTGCAGGAAAGTATGAGTAATATCTTCATTCTTTGCAGTTTGTCACGGATTAAATGATAAAGGTCTGCATGATTTTGATAAAAGAATGATTATTAGTAAACACGTGAAGGAGTGTAATTAATGATTAACACTACTCGTGATATTTGAAAAATGTGCCAAAATTGCACGAGCCGCCGAGGCGAGTATAATTTGGCACATTTTTCAAATATCACGAGTAGTGTTAATCATTAATTGCAAGACTATTTATTTACTAGAAATATATGCATGCACTAACCCCTCGGATCTATTTTCCAAACATTGATTTAACATGAAGTATTGGTAATTGATCAACACTGAACCTGTGACTGAACGCAGGCACGCGCTTACGTAAGTGCTGCCATGGCAGCACGATAAATTAAATTTTATTATATTTTTGTACAACACGGCGAACACGCCAAAATAGTTAAAGATTATTGCTTTTACCTATATAACAATGAATTTCCGAAATATGTACTGTAGGTATGTTGTTCTGCATTCTGTGAGCTTTGATTTAATGTAAAATTTAACGTCAATCGCGTCGTAAAATGTTTTGAAATGTTCATTTTAAAATTAAACTATAAACTGCATTTTCCGATATAAAACTGTACCGGTTTTTAGTCTATAATACAAAATAAGTTCAAGTCGTTGAGTAATTTCAGTTCGATTTTTAATTGAATTTGCTCTCCTTTACATTTTACTTCTTATTCTTAAATTAAACATGTTAATTTAGCAAACTTTAATACAGGTTCATTGAAAAGGAAAGCAGTGCATGTTTTAAATTACGCAATAAATTAAAGCGACAAAATTCGTAAACATTAAACATTCAAAGCAAACTTGCCCTATATTCCACGATTTTCCACAGTAAATCAATTTTTTTCATTTCTTGAAACAAAAATTGCTTCAAAGCTTATCGTCTGAAACTTGATTTTCCAAATATATGCCTTTGAAAATTGAAATCTTGTTTATCCCAATCCTGGCAAACAGCCATATTTTTGAGATCAGTGAGGTCGCTGTTTCTAGGTATTTTTCACAGGCTCTTTTTGCCATACAGTGTTTTTTTTTTAACTCATTCTTGTGACAAAATGTAGTCAAATTCGTCCACATTTGTTATAAATACTTATTTAAATTTCGTATATTGGATTTTATTGTTTTGATATCTCGCTCCCCCCAGCTATCACGAAAATAATTCATTGCACTCCTGGAGAGTGCAATTAATAATGGTAATTGAACTGAGTGGAGTGCGATTTGGACTGAATTAATCAAACGCAGGATTATAAAATCGCACGACCACGAAGCGGGACGTGTAATCCTTGCGATTTGTAATCACAAGTTTGATTTCAGTCCAAAATTGCACGTCACGAAGTTTAATTTCCACTTTAATATATTCAGTTTGAAATCTTAATTAATCTTAAAGCATGCGCACGTAATACCAATACCAAAGGTCAAACAATTTAAATATCCTAAAAAAAGAGATACGTGCTAATTCACCCACCCCATCGATTTCAAAAATTGCGGAGGAGTTTTGTAGTTATTCATTATATTAAACCATATTGAAGAACGTAGATCCAAATCAGTATCGTACAGTACCTGGATCCTCTACCGTGAAAGCACTCATAAGCATGGTACATAAATGGCTTTACGAAACAGACGGTACGGGCTCTGTTGTAAGAGTATTATTGTTTGACTACCGAAAGCCGTTCGACCTAATCGATCATACAATCCTAGTCAACAAATTGAAATAGCTGGATATTCCCACCACTATAATTAACTGGATAATAAATTTTTTATCGAACATGCAGACTACAGAGAGTAAAGTTGAGTTATGATTGCATGTCTGAATGGGGCTTTGTCCCCTCGGGTGTTCCAAAGGGTACCAAATTAGGCCCCTGGCTTTTGATTTGCAAAAGACACACATTAGGTACCTTCTTGCGTGCTGTAAGTGTAGCATAGCAACAATAAGCGAACAAGATGAACAATTATTAGTTAATATAGCCTAGTTTTGCTGAAAAAATGGTTAAAATATTAAAGAAATGAAGACATTTATAAAGAATAAGAGACAACACAAGTTTCTTGTTCAATTGAAACGAGCTAATGTCCCTGTAGAAGACATTGTTGAATACTATTCTTCATGCATTCGAACTACTCTGGATTATGCTTGTCCCTTATTTCATAATTCCCTTCCAAAGTATCTTCAACAAGAATTGGAAAAAATCCAAAAGAGAGCCCTAGCGATAGTATTTCCAGAATGCACTTATCAGGAAGCTCTGAAGAAAACGAAACTGGTAACCATCAGCGAGCACTATGAAATCTTGTCAATGAATCTCTTTGAACAAATCTCCAATGACAGAAGTTCAAAACTACATTCTCTCTTACCACAGTACAACATGAACACGAACTACAATCTTCGAAAGAAAAGAACCTTTGAAATACCGCTGGTGAAAACGAAGTGATTTGCAAACTCGTTTATAATGGCATGTAGCAGAAATCACGATAGGAAAATAATCAAAAAACATTATGAGACACCTTAGCTAAGTAAAATAGGTATACATAGCTATATAGATATTTTTAACGTACTTTTTAAATTATAGGTTGTTAAAGTAGCGCAATTCAGGAGTACAGCTGTAATGCTACTATTCTTAATAAAACTATTTATCTAAACTATCTATCTAATATTTTTGTAAACCGGAAACGTTTTTGTTTGCAAAAGACAGACATCCGGTACCTCCCTGCGTGCTGTAAATGTAGCATAGCAACAATAAGCAAACAAGATGAACAATTATTAGTTAGTATAGCCTAGTTTTGCTGAAAAAATGGTTAAAATATTAAAGAAATGAAGACATTTATAAAGAATAAGAGACAACACAAGTAAGTTTAAGCATATTTAGGTTTTACGAGTGATTTGAAAGAGTTTTGGTGCAGTTTTATGCGTTTAAAATTGGAAATACGATAGGCGGATTTCGAGCTTTGTTTTCCCTAATGAATTATAAAATTTGCTTTTGTTGCCGTTTTTACCTGTTTACTATTTGAGAAATTTAAAAAATGTGAACATTCTTTGCAATTCTTTGATAGATTGCTGTTGCTATCCATATTTTTTTTTGTTGTTTTTATGTGCCAAAACATGCTTAGGCACTCAATGGTAATCATGACATATGTAAAAAATTTTTTTGTTTTTGCTCATTTTGCCATACCACATTTTTCTTAAAATTGATTCGCTGTTTGAATCCTATGATTAAATATGATTGTTTCGTTGAAATCAGCACTCAAATGTGATTGATTGAAAGAAGGTGCGATTTCAGCACGAATCGCACTGCTGGAAGTGCAATTCGTGCTGAAATCGCACTCCTGTGAACCAGTCCGATTGCAGGGAACCCCACTGGTTTTAAAATGAATATAAATGTAATAAATGAAACAATTGCGCTCCTCTTAAACAATCAGATTGTAGTAATTTTGTCATGTATATAATAAATATAACACTTCTAAATAATACAACAATGATGATGATGCAATGTTTATTACCGACTAAGTGAACACACCGGATACCTGTATATATACAAGATCAAATCACATGTCTATTATTTGATCACTGTACCACCGTTGTTCAATAAAATGATGGTTATATAAGTATAGATAATTTCCAGCATTATGCTGGGAGAGGGGGAATTTTGTTAGACACAATTACGGGATCACAAGTACAGTGTTTTTTTTTGCACGGACTGTTGGTATCTGTTGGGTTTTATATTATTGCGTCATAAAACTTCAATTATGTTTTATCATGTAAAATATTAATATGTATGTATATTGTATATTAATCCATAATGTAAATAATCCTGTGATAATTATTGGTAAGAAAAATTCGCTGTAGTTTTAATCGATCAAGATTACTGAGCATACTTACGTGCAATTGGTTGAGTTGTTGGAACAATTTCAACTCCTGAAAAATTAAACCAGTTAATTATAAATAGTTGACAGTTATACCAATTGTAAGTTGAAACGAAAGCTAATCAACGTGAAACAAAACAGTTTAATTGTTTTTGTTTGTGGAAACACCACGTAAATTTATTACTGCAATAAATTTATTGCAATTATTGCAGTAAATATTTACTGCAATTTATTTGCAGTAATACATTTACGTGGTGTTTCCACAAACAAAAACAATTATATTTTATCGCCATGTAAACATTCAAAGAACTTAAAATAGTTTAAGTTTAAGTTAAATATTGTAAAACATTTTTGTCGGGTTGTTTGAATTGTCGTCTTACAGTTTTTCGAATTTACAAATTTATTGTGGGGTAAGATATAATGGAGTATTTTAAAAACACCTGCACTATGGCTTTATATGTTCATGTTGCAATATACCTCTAAATTCTTCAGCGTTTTAATTAACTGTGAAAGGGCCACGGGGAATGAAGACCGTGCTCCCTTGCTTTCCTGAAAGGCTTCAAATTCATCCACCATGGAAATGAATAAGGACACTAAATTCCATTTTTCCAGTCAAAATTCTCCATGCAATCTTTTCACAACTCTTTTTACAAATCCTATTCCCATCACGAAAACCCATTTCCATGACGAAAATGCCGAGTTTCACAGCAAAAAAGGGGAAACCTAAACGCAAGTTTAAACGTCACGGCGCCCCTCTTGCATACCCTATAGAACGAGTTGGATGGATAGTTGCTTTAATTTATGATTGTCCATACCATTTTTCAAAGCTGTGAGGCTGGGCATGCATAATTCATAGCAACGAATCTGATAATTGTGATCCCCCAAAAAACTTAATTGTGCATCCAAGCGATTGTATATTGCTTTAATATTGTAGATTGCACAAACCTGCAAGACATCCATATAGTTCCACTCTCATACAGATCGTTGTTCCTGAGAACGTTTTTGGAAAAATTCTTATTGCGTTTGCCCGTAAGTCATTCTGGCTGTGATAGTAGTCCGTGAGATTATTTTCCATAGGTTTAGATTTGTCATTCTTGTTTATAGCCACTAATACCTGACATGAAAAATATCATTTTTATGTAAAAAAAAAATATCATTGTATGCATAGAGCTCTGAAGCCATTATATTGCATGAAATTGCCCGTACAGCACTGTCAGTTAAAATAGAACTTATAACATCCAACGCACAACACTGTCCGCGCCCATCAAAGAAAAATAAATTATAAAGGTCTGTTTCCAGATATGGATATGCTGTCGTGCAAAAAAAGGGTATCTCAACTAATGGTATCTCGATTGAAAATTATCTCCCCCACTCGAATATAAAACCCAACACTGTTTGCAAACGTCTACAATAACACCCGCTCCTTACAGTCATGCATACGGCCTGTCAGTGCATTCATATAAAATATAGCTATATTAGTTGAAACATACCTTTGCTTGTCCTTTTGGGCCGTAAACAAACCAAGTTTTGCCTTTCTTATATTTCATAGTAAATTCTGATATTAGACTACCTTTCCTATAACCAAGAGGGCCAGGCAGTGTAGCAATCTTGGATAGTCTGTATTTGTTGCCAAGCTTAATCTATAACATTTAAAAATATAAAGTATTCAATTGCTACCTCCGCGAGAAAGTTACGACGAGGTTTAGATTTGACCTCCACTGACACTAACGCTAGCATAAATGATAACTTATTT